AGTCAGTCAACTAACCTTTAATTGATCAATATCAGTTATAATCATGACTAATTATGACTATAACTATTAGCATTCTTACTAGAAACTATAATGTACAAATTATTAGCTAGCTAAAAAAAATAAAGAAATGTAAAATATAATTACATATAGATATAATATTTAACTAGCCTAATTTATATATATTTATACTATTAAATAATAAGTTAGATAAATAATTATTTTTATATTATATATTATTTCTAGTAATCAATAAATAAAATCTAACAAATTTAAATCAATTATATAATCATTATACTAAGATAATTGATGTCTGAATATTTTAACAATCATTAAAAATATTTCTTTTAGTATTAATGAATTAGGATATTTTATTATAATATAATTAGATAAGTCATATTTGTAATAAGATTTTAAGTCAACTGAGTATCAATATTATTCTTAACCTCTAAATATATAATTAATTTTAATAGAATCATTTAAAATATAAAAATATTTATAATAAATAATTATAAATAATTTAGATTTGTAATTATTAGATTATATGAGATAACATGCTTTTATTTTTATTATAAAAATGATATTCTATAATTTTTATACTGAGGTTCTATATTAGTTTAACTTTAAATTTATTTCATTATTTAACTTTATTAAAGATATAGCTAGCTAAGTAGATTTTAACGTAGTTAAAATAATTTAATATTTTGTAATAATTTTTAAGTGATATAAATATATATTATAGACCTCTTATTTATAATTTAATATTTAAATTTTCTATATTTAAAAAAATATTGATGAAAATTATTATTAAAATAGATATTTGTAACATGTAAAGATATGCTATTAAAACTGTATATTATTTTTTTAGATTGTAAAATCAATTAAATAATTAATTTTCAAATCTGAAATTTTATAAAAGGATTAATTTATTATCTTATTAATTATTAAAGTAGATTTATTTAATCTAATTAAATTTGCAAATTATATATTAATCTTCTTAAATACATAATTTTATATAAAATTGATAGCTTTAATAATATTAGAAATTAGAAGTTCTTTAACTATTTTTAAATTATAGTAATATAAGTAAAATAGTAAAATAAAAAATGACAATAAAGTTATATTATTAATTTTTATAATATCAATATCTTCAATAAGAATAAACTTATATTAATCTAAAATATTAGATAGTAAAATTATTTTTGCTTATAAGTTTTATTTATAATATTCTTATTAAAAATAAAAAAAAGAGTTAGGTTATTTTTTGAAATAAAAGTAATAGAAGTTTCTAAAATCATATAATTTTTATTTTTAAGATGATCTATTTTCTTTTTTAAAATTATATTATAAAAAATATTTTATAAAAGTTTTTTTAAATAATAAAAGTTGTTTACAAATATATAAAACTAAAAATTATCTAATAAGATTATAAAATAATAAAATATATTAAGAGAGAGCTTTTGATTACAAAGATATCACATTAAGATAACTATATTATACACTTTAAAAATAATTCTTCTAAGTAATATAAATATAATTATGTATAATTTTATACTAGTAAACCTAGTAAATATCATATCAATTTTACAATAAACTTCTAATTATCAAAATTAGGATCTTATTAAAAGCTAAACAATTTTATTTTATAATAAATTTTATTTTTCAAAAATTTAAAGTAAAATGAAAAAAGTTTTTTTTAACTTAACTTTGATATATTATACTTTTTACAGTTTATAATAAATTTATTATATTTATTATTATATTAAAATATTTTGAATTATAATATAATTAATATTAAATAATTTCTTAAATTATATATTAATAAAATTTAAAAATAAATAAGAATATTTGCTTTTATTAAAATTTGATATAAATCAATAGCAAGTACTTTAATTTTAGCTTTAATTAAAAATATCAATATTGATAGTTCTAATAATTTAAATACTAATATTAATTTATAATTTATTTTAATTTATTATTTATAATGATTAACAATTTTTTTTATTTAAACAGTCATCTCCTTTATAGTTACACCCTTCAGGACTAAAAATAAAAAGTGTGATTATAATTAAAAGTTACTATACAGGAAAATTTTTATATATTATTACTAAGTGTTAGTTCTAGAAGGATGTGATTATAAAAATACTGTAATTATAAAGGGTTTTTTTATATAACATTAATAGGTATTAGTTCTTATAAAATGTATGCTTATAATGAGGGATTTATATAATGTGATTATACAGGGGGTGACTATAGAGAAGGACGACTATATATAAAAAAAATTAAAATGATATAATTTTAATTTCTTATCTTAAAATAAAAATTTAAAAATTATAAACTGATTTTACTAAAATTAATAAAGAATTTAATAAAAAAAATTATTAACAGAAAAAGTAAAGTTTATATATTAATATTTAATTTTTTATACTTTTTTTTAATTTAAAAATTAGTCAATTTAAGAAATTATAGCTATTCAAATAGTTGAGATAATAAAAATAATTCTGATAAATATAGTAATAATAAATACTTAAAAAATTAAAAAGATGATTTCAGAAAGATTTAAAAGGTTAGTAGTTATTATGTTTATTATTAAAATTATTATTTAAAAATAATATTTCTTTAAATTATAAAATCTTTTTAAAAAATTATATTACTTAAATTATGTGATTACTTTAAGAAATATATTACTTTATGTTATATAATAATTTTAAAAAGTAATGTAATTTTTTATTTAAATAAATTAGTATTATATACACTATATCTCTTAAAATACTTAACTAAATTAAATATATTATTAATTTAGAGACTAAATAAGAAATTTGTATTGAAGAACTTATTTTAACTAATTAATGATTTTATTAATAAAAAATTAGTTTTGTAAAGTAACAACCAATATTCTTTAATTTTTAAATAATATTTTTTAATATTATAATAAATAAGAAAATTTATGTAAATATTAAAAGATTTTATAAATATATTAAAACTAGTTAGAATATAAAAGAGAATTATAATTTAATTCTGTTAGATTTTTTAGATTATAATAAAATTATAATATAAGAAATCATTTTTTTAAAAAGTTTAAGAATATAATTTTTATATATTTTCTATTTATGTTAACTTTTAAAAAAATATGTAAAAATTAATTTATTATTAAAATTGTATCAATAATATATTACTTCTGTATCATTTTTATATGCTATCTTTTTATAAAATAGAATTATTATGTATTATATATAGATTGATTGATATTATTAGCTTTTAAAATTTGATTTTTTTAGAAATCTTTTCATATAATACTAATTCTAATTTATATATTTTAAATTATATAATAAATATTTATCAAATCAGTATAAGATTAAATTTTAAATTTCTTTTTATTTCTATTGGATTAAACATAATTAGAAATTCTTATAAAATATATATTATTAAAATTTAAAAAGTAAAATTTTAAGTTCTTTCTTACTAGATATTATTAACCTAAATGTTATCTTTCAATATATAATAATAATTTTTTAAAAAATATTTAAAGTAATTCACTGCATTTTTTTAAATTAAGTCAAATAAGTCTAAAAGGGTTAAATATTTTATCTAATTTTTCTTTAATCTAAATATTAGGTTGTAATAGATTTGCGTTAGTTCAATATAGTTTGAAAATTTTCATACATTATTTTTGGTGGTATTATATAATAGACATTGTCCATTTTATTTTAAATAGACATAAATATGTTTTAGAATATATTTTAAGATTTTGTTTACATTTATGTTCTGTCATATAACTGTCAATTATTAAAAATCTAAGTCACTATACCACTTCCTTTTTTATTAGCAATATATTAAATGCGTGAAACTTTGTGTTCTATCTGTAATAACATTTCATTGTCTCATTTTTTTTATTTATGTTAAACATTTTTCTATGATCGCGCGTCGTACAAAAAAGAAATCTAACGTAATAGGATCGGGAAGATTATTTCGAGGAATTTGAATTGGAGAACGCAAATCGTGGTATAGACAGTCTAACTTAATATTGATAACACATGTGCCTTGCTCGAAATTTAAAGGGCCGCCATTCACATCATGAGTGCCAAATTCGAACTAAGGATTCAATCGTATATATTAGAGGTTTTGCCGTATCAACAGAATGAAAATTTGATATATGTAGTAATTATTACCATGTTTCTAGCTGGAACATTTCCGTTTGGCAATCTGCCATCTGATACACAAAAATGCCACGCCTATAAAGAACAATATCATTATTATGACACGTGAACAATAAATTATTGTGTGTATTGTAAACATAACTTACTCTAAAACGCGAAGGAACTTGGCCTACAGGAACTGGATCAATCTTAACAACGATCACATCATGAACGCGATCGTTGTATAGCCAGTATTTTTGCACCTTAGTCATTATATTTTCTTCTGTTTGGTAATATGCAACCTCGACAACAAGATTTGGCCAAGGTAATTCCTAAAACCAAAAAAGTTAAATATGAAACCAACTTTTGCAAGAATTAAAAGAACAGAGAAGAAAGTAAAGTACGTTTCCATCGCTCCCATTTGGTGAAGTTACTGCAATTTTTTGGGGGCCAAATGATGCGTCAGCTTCTTTTCCGGAATCACCGCTACGAGTTCCTTTAAAATATTCAAGATTAGTTTAACATCATAGATATAATAAAAAGAAAGCTAATGAATTCATGCTTACGAGATGACCCTATATTATAAACCTTGGCATCGGTCCTCTTTACATCTCTGCAAGCATCCATTAATTCCTCAACTATCTCGTTAATACAAATTTCATGTGGTCTAGACGGACATTCAGTGACCTTGACCTTGCCATCAAACCATTCCCAGTAGCCATGAACATTAAAAACGTCTCCACGACGTTCGTAATCTTCCAAAGACATTCCTTCAACAAGGGTGTATGGGAGCCTTAATATAATTAATTAAAAAAAATTAGTTTGTCTTCAATAGAAAAATACAGGCATTACTTACTTCGCATGATCTCAGTCCGCCTTTGGATAAAGGTTTCCTTGATCCCACCAAAGTTTTCGAAATTTTTTCAGTTCATTGGATTCCTCATCAGGCATTCGGACGAGAGCTTTTGAAACAGCATTACTATAATAATATCTGAGAATTAAAACCAATTATAAAAGAGAAACATATATCTATATATTCTATACTCTCACCTTTGAGTTGTGGTAGTACTTGTCAAACATCTTCTAACCCTATACGAATCCGAATCAGTATCATTATACAAAGTTGCCATTTTCGTTGATAATTTTACACACGTGTTCTTTTTGGGAAGGGAAGAAACTCTAAACATATTGGGAAATATCATGCTTATATACAGTATTAATACATTAATTTTAATAAATTAATTTTATTTTAGTTTGATTTATATGAGTCATGGACTAGCAAAAAGTACCTCCGAGACCCTATATCAATATAATAATATACTTTTTTAATCATACAATTATAATATTATAATAAATTACCGAAATATGTTTTTTGAAAAAAAATTCCCAATTCCCATCTCAAAGTGAGATATTTCTCGAAGGTACATACATTTTGCTAGTCCATGACCCATATAATTATTTATAAGCTTTTTCAATAAAATGATTGTTTATATTTGAAAAATAATAAAACTAATTATACTATTTTTCTTTAAAATTATACCTATTTATTTATAATTATTTATTTAATTTGTGAACTGCATGCCGATCAGTGATTTTACTATCTAAATGGATAATTATCATATATTTTTTAAAAAGTGTGTTAGAATCTGTCACTGTTCTCTACTCAAGCTATGTCAAAATGCAATTAATATATAATTACGTTGCTTTCTAATGGCATTTGAGTTGAAAATTTGCATTTTGGATTTTATTTCCAATAGTTAGTTAGTGGCTTTCTCGTCCCATTGATAAAGCACAATTCGACTGCATTTCAAAATCTTAGTTGTATTGAATGGACGTGAATTTTTTGTTGAGGTAATTCAGTTTGAGTCTGACTTTAGTCCACATCTTAGGTATATTTGCAAATGTGATGGGATTCAAAATAATGTGTGTGAAATACCAACGGTAGCTATTTCTTTAGTATACCAGACTATTTTTAAAATGGAAACAAAAATTTCAGGGCCAAAAATTTTAAGATTTAATAAACTAACTATTGCAAATCAGATATTATCAGATTTACTATTTTGTGTTTATAAATTTCAACTTGAAATCCTTCGAGTTTGGATTATAAATATAGAATATTCTGATAAAAATGTAACAAGCTTAGCGGTTCCAGATTTAAGTCAGCTTTTATATATCAATATAAAAAACACGCTTTATTTTTTTAAGAAATAAAAAAAAATAATTGAACAATAGTTTATGGAAGTAGCATAAATATGAATTTTATTGAAAAATATTCAAATTTAATTTGGTTAAAAATTGGAATATTACAACAATACAATAGAGAACAACTTTTTGGATTAACTCATTAATACACTTAAAACTTAGTATAAATACCTCAAATTCCATCTTATACATTAGATGAATAGCATAATAAAGAAGTAATGACCAAGTTATATAATTATCATTTTGACATCATGTACTAACAGAGATAAATTGGTATAGTTTTTTATAATTGATTAGAAAAAGAAATATTATTATAGAATTAAAGTCAGCTTTGCAGTCAATTTGCCTAATAGAATATGAAATTAGTGATTGAAAATTTGAGCTTAGATTGTAATGTTAAAGCATGTTAGTTATTTTGAAATTACTCTATATGCTAAAAATCAATCAGAGATACATATCTAAAGAACTTTTATCATTAATTAGAATAGCAGATTAAGATTAAAATTCAAACTATAAATGCAAATGTTAATAGTAAGTATAAATACAATATTCTTATTAATGTAATCATTTACAAGTTAGATTTATTACTCTAACACCTTTATTTAAAAATACTACAGAGATTTTTTGAAATTCTTTTAATAACCCAATAGATATTAATAAATGTGATATTAATAAACATCAATAGGTATTATTTACAGTCCCAGCGAAAAGAATGGCGGTGGAAGACCGCATCTATTTTTGGCTGCAGTTTTACCACTTTTCGGATTTAGGCATTTGTTTATATATCCAAATCAGACATTGGAACCTGAATTAAAAAGGTAAGTTAAAAAAATAAGGTTT